AATGTATAGACAGCAAAACTGAAAAAATATTTGTTGATTTATATAATTTAGAGTTTCCTTTGATTAAAGAGGTTTTTTTATTATTATTATTAAAAGCGTTGGTGATATAACAGAAAGTATCATAATACAGAAACGATTAAAGTTTAAAATTGAATCGTTATTGTTACTTTCATGATAAATTTTATGCACTTGACTCTAGGCTAGGTGATCCTACAATAGCCCTTACTTTAGGCTTATTATACCAACACTCACTACACTTGTAAGGTTTCACGGCACCCCCCTCCTCCTCACAGTCCTCTTGAACCCCCGTCACTAAAATCGCAATGGGCAGACAGTAATCGAACTATTCGATCTGGATAAATGCATTTTGGCTTTTGTGACTCCTCCTATTTCTAGAAATCAATACCTGGCTTTTATATAGGTTAGATACAACCATGACAGCCTTCATAGTTAACAGTGCCAGCGTAGTAACATCAAGAGATTTAATTTCTCGAGTTTCTATCTGCAGGTTGCTGCTCTTCAGCCCGAGTCAACGAACGACCAATTTTGGAGTGTTCTACCAACAACATCACGTTTTAAAAATTTTATTACAGTATGTGTTGAAAATTCTCAGCGAAAAGTGTAGTGTTCATTCATGTAAAATGCTTCTAAATAATTAGTTAATTAAATGAGAATATATCGAGATTTTGTGTAGAGTTTTATCTAATAAATACTTATAAAGTCTTTTTGTTTGATTCTTTGTGTTTAAACGCAACCCTACGTAATAAGCTACCTCCCCCCCCCCCAGTGGCACAGCGCTATGTTTGCAGACTTACAACGCTATAAACCGGGTTTCGATACCCGTGTAGTGAGCACAACATAGATAGCCCATTTGTGTAGCTTTGTGCTTAACTAGAAACAAACAAACGCAATAGGCTATCTGCGCTGGGCCCATCGCGGGTATCGAACACTAATATTGCGAGTCGAACACCCTAACCACCTGGCTATGTTGGGTCTTGTTGTAGTGGAAGCACTGCATATTAATTTTTCTAATTCTTGTGTTGTTTGACAATTGAGTTATTTATTGTCAAATGTTTAAAAAATGTTATTGTTATTTGTTGAATTTCTCGCAAAGCTACTCGGGGGCTAACTGCGCTAGTGATAGACTAAAGAAAAAGTAACTAGTGAACATCCAACTGCTGAGCTACCCTTGTATAACCGAAAAGTAGGATTTGACCGTTACTTTTATAGTGTATCCACAACCCTAAAGTATTAATCATAGGTCCACACTCACCCCACTTGAACCACTGCAGTTAAATAACTTGATGTCTGCTTTCTAGTATATCGCTTCAAGATTATAGACAATTAATGCAGCTGTCTGTTGAGTTCCAAAATAAAACAAGAATAAACCCATTTTTAAGTCAGCGCGATATTTATTAGAAATCAGTATAATTATCAATATTATAATTTTTCATACTTTCTAAATGAACAATGTATCTGTTTTTTGAATTAAATAAATATACATTTAAGCTAATAATGGCTGGAGACGGCTTGAAT